CCCCCCCAACACCCTCGCGATAAATAATGACCAGTCCCTAATTAACATTAATACTGACTGTAATGTTTTCAGGGTAATATTAACAGTAATACTGACTGTAATGTTTGTATAGGTAATAAGGCTAAACGCTGTTCAATTTGGAAATAATTGGATGAAAAAAATTCCGAGGACTGACAAAATTGCAAGAGGCCGATAGGCCGAGTCCAATTTGGCAGACAGGAATTTTTTTGAAATCAATTATTTCCAAAATGGACAGACATGTACATTAATTTTATCGTCCCAAACTATACTAGACTGATTCCATAAGTCATAGTTTTCCCTTGAAAGAATGCGAATGGAAACGATCCAAATTATAATTATACCAGTAATGCTGACTGTAATGTTTTCAGGGTAATRTTAACAGTAATACTGGCTGTAATGTTTTCAGGGTAATATTAGCAGTAATACTGGCTGTAATGTTTTCAGGGTAATATTAACAGTAATACTGGCTGTAATGTTTTCAGGGTAATATTAGCAGTAATACTGGCTGTCTCAACGGATGCTGCCGAAATAATCCTTGTGTTCACGGAGGCACGTGTACAGAGCTCTGCGCCAACCAGAAAAGACGTTTCCAATGCAAGTGTAAGAATCGCCGCTACACTGGACATCGCTGTGAGATTTACAAGCCAAGAAGCTGTGCTGACTTGAAAGAAGATGGAATATCCAAAAATCGATGGTTTGAAGTCTACCTCACATCAAATAGTGTTGGGACCATGGTGTACTGTGATTTCAGATCCAGTGACAACATCACGTGGACAATGGTGCTATCATTTGGTGTTCATCCTTTTGGAGGTTATGATGCATGCAAGAATCTTAAACAGGATAGGAAGATAAAATATTCCTTCTATCAGCATAATATTGGTTCATCAGAAAAACTAGCTCTTCGTAAACGATCCCCTCACTGGAGAGTAACCTGTGAATACGATAAACACCACACGGTCTTTGATAATTACATTGTAGCAAAATTTGACCACATCGATCTCACATCGTTGCCAAATGGTGTTCAGTGTAAAAGATTCGAAGAAATTAATGTCTTGAAAACAAAATGTACCAATTGCTCAGCAACAGTCGTAAGAGATTGTACAAGATATCAGTATTTTGCTCTTTTGAGTGAGAGGAGTATGGTACCAAATTGCACGACGAATATATCCTTCACGGAAAGTTATTTTGGTAATGCTTATTACTATATTTTTCAAAATCCTCTTTTTCCGTGCAACCGATATAGAAACTCAACCACTCAGTATTGGTTCGGATCACAGTAAAGCTCCCATTGTGATAAGATAGTACCTTATACCAATGTAATGGTTAGATAGCGTAGTACCTTATACCAATGTAATGGTTAGATAGCGTAGTACCTTATACCAATATAATGGTAAAATATCGTAGTACCTTATACCAATGTAATGGTTAGATAGCGTAGTACCTTATACCAATATAATGGTAAAATATCGTAGTACCTTATACCAATGTAATGTAAGATATCATAGTACCTTGTAACAATGTAATAGTAAGACATCGTAGTACCTTATATCAATGTAATGGTAAGATATCATAGTACCTTATATCAATGTAATGTAAGATATCATAGTACCTTGTAACAATGTAATAGTAAGATATCGTAGTACCTTATACCAATGTAATGGTAAGATATCGTAGTACCTTATACCAATGTAATGGTACGATATCGTAGTACCTTATACCAATGTAATGTAAGATATCGTAGTACCTTATACCAATGTAATGGTAAGATATCGTAGTACCTTATACCAATATAATGGTTAGATATCGTAGTACCTTATACCAATGTAATGGTAAGATATCGTAGTACCTTACACCAATGTAATAGCAAGATATCGTAGTATCTTATACCTATGTAATGGCGAGATATCATGGTACGTTATTACCCGGTTATTTTTGCTTAGGGGTAGGGCTTTACAGTACTTCATTGTAATACGTATTAGTCCCTAGGGCTTTATAGTTTTTCAAAGTAATACACTTATAGTGAGTCATTAAACTGATGATGGACGATGGATATCGTCCGAAATTTTTCACTCAAAAATTTCTAGTCATTCTTTTCGTATACTTAGGGGTAAGTGATTTCTTCATTGGTTTGTAACATAACTATGTCCTTCCCAAAACTGTAAAATTCGCGAAGCCACCATTATATGTGCATTTAAGTCATTGAATTGCGTTGAGTTTGTGCGTTTGTATTATTTGTTTCGTTTCCCGAATAAATGAGCAACTGAGAGAAAAAGAAAAGACCCCCAGAGAGGCAGATTAACAGACAGTAATATATCCACACTATATACTCATTTTCACGTTGCGGTTATTAAATTATGGGTGAGATCGGCGACTGTTTAGTCTCCCTCGCATCCGTTTTTAGTGTCGGTCGTCACGCGAGRGAGCGTTGCGTGACGACCGACACTAAAAACGGATGCGAGGGAGACTAGCGACTGTTGTGATATGACGTAAACACCGAGGAATAGACCCCTTGCAGCACGTCCGCGAAATGCAGCTCAATTTGGAGGGCAAAACAATAGTTTTCCAATTCTTAGGAGATTGTCTTGGGAAATGGAAATTCTTCTGTTTTGTCCTCCAACTTGAGCTCCTTTGACGTCAATCGTGGTCAATCGTTGTGCAATCGTGTCGTGCATCCCTTCCCAAGAGAATAAAAGGACAAAAGACTGCCATGTTGATTGACATGACAAAAGACACCAGGACCAACTCATCTTTTATCAAGGTCAACTAAAATGGCAGTAATGTCGTCCCATTCACCCCAAGAACAAGTGGTTTGTGTAGAGTTCATTTTATACTGCCAGGCAGGAAGGCCTTTCCCATGGTTTGACTATGTTCCAAGATATAACCAACCTTACATATATAGTGCCTAAAAATCCATACCACTTGATCTTATTATTGCTTGGCTTTAATCAGCTGATAAGGGTGTTTGAATCTCATTATCTGCTCCAAATGGTGGACAAACACTGACCACCATATGCTGTCAGCCTTAACATTCAGCTGATGAACCTGACAGGAAATGACGTCAAATCCTGACGAAAAACTATTTTATCTAAGACTTTCTTTGTGCTTTAAATCTTGATAATCTTTTTGGTTTTGGTTCAGAAGCCTGAAAAAAGAAGTTAAAGGAAATCTGAGATACTTGTGACCTGAATTGAGAGATTGTTCGTGCAAGGAGTCCTTAAAAAAAACATCCATGAGATTTGAAGCAGCAGAGGAGTAAAAATCAAGCCACGCGTAGCCTGCGTAGCGGCGCTCTAAGGGATTGGGGAAGGTGGGAGGGGAAAAATCCCCTAGAGCGCCGCTACGCAGACTAACCCACCGAGTTTCACGAGCTTTTATTTCAAATCACTGAATGAATCATTTTACTGCATTACAACGAGAGTGGTTTTCATAAATTAACCGTGAAACAAAGTGTATTCGTTAGAAGATATAACTAGCTAAAAACTAGTGTGAGCTGCGTCGGTGTTTCTAATGAAACAGTTATGATGAAAAGGTAAATTATACACCGTGAAAAGATGAAAAAACTTACTGACGTTTCGGACGCTAGTCCTTCGTCGGAGTAAAAGAGCTCTTTTAGCCCTAAGTTTTTTCATCTTTTCACGGTGTATAATTTACCTTTTCATCATTACTGTATTCGTTAGAGTGAAACAGTCAGATCAATATACAACAGAAGACAGAAGAATTAGAGTGTAATAGCACTAAATACGCATAAGTGTATTCCTAGGATTTATGAAAACCACTCTAGTTTATTTCTCCTACTAGTGGAATGAGCTGATACTAAGTATTTTAATGATAAATCCAGCATTAACAACCATCTAACACCTAGTGTTTACGAGGCATTTATTACTAAAAGAAGGATGGCCGCCATGTTGATTGGCATAAAAAAGAAAAAACGGTTACAAAAGATTTGTCTTCCCAAATGTTTCGCACAATTTGTTTTTTTCCATTTATACTTTTTCTAATCCTGTAATCCTCTTGAAAAGGAGGCCAATTTTAAATTCCAGAGAAATGATAAAGAAATATTGAAAATGTGATAGATCTAGATAACGTAGTGCAAAATAGGATTTAAATATTACTGAGGTAAAAACACACAAATAATGGAAGAATAGAAAAAAAACTGCCTTGAACTTTAAAAGTTTAATTTCTAGAAAGTCTTGTATTTATAAGATCATTTTATTTATTTGATTAAATAACCAGGACCATACTTCCAGACATCGAATGCTGAACCGTCGTATGGCAGCGCAAAGCATTTACGGCTATGCCGGAGATTTCGGCCCCGACACCGCTCAGTATCCCTGGATTTACAGACTGATCAGGAAGCTCGGCCGAAACCTAAGGGAGAGGTTAGTCGGCCCCTAGACCATATATGATTAACCCCTTGCTATGACCAGCAGACCCAAAAATGTCGTTTGCCGCTAAAGGTTAAGAACCTATGATCATTGCATGTCCATGTGGGATGCTTTTGAAAACCCAGGCTAGACTAAATTAACACTAAAACTTAGGGTAACAATCGAAATTGAAGCTTCATTTGAATCGGGTTTGAAGGAGAAGTTTTTTTGTAAAGAATGAGAAAATATAAAGTGATAGRCTAGTGGAAATTAATATACAAATGAGGGCTACGCATGCGCATGAATAGTAAAAACGGTTGAGATGAATGTGCGATTCAAACTCTGTCGTTCAGGATTACAGTTACCCTGTGAGATTTGCAGCGCTGTATCGATGCTTCAGTATAATTCTAACTACAATAATTTAGCGTTTTACAAATATGGTCAGGATCAAAATATATAGATTAAAAAAATATCAAGCGAGAGCCGTTTTTAACTTGAATTCTAAAACAATTATCAAAGTTTTGAAAGTAAGGAAAAAACTGAGAAAGTGCAATATTTGTAGAAAACCTCAATCTCCAGGACGTTTGCACGATGACGTCATTGACCTCTACTACCAGACTCCCTTGCACAATTTCTTGTCTTAAATACTATTCTCATGAGGGAATACAAAATTAAACAAGAAAGAAAATTCGCGGAGCATTATGGTAGCAGGAGTCAAATGACAGCATGCAAACGTCCTATCATGAAATAACGCGTCTTATTCAAAAATATCGAGAGTATTTAAAATGACGTCATGTTTGCCCCATCATGCAAAAAAAAAAAAAAMCATTGTGGTTTCTTAAGCTGGTTTTCTTTCAGCATGGCGAGCGTTTAGACGAGAATATCTAAAACCAAGAGCTGTTTTATATCTTAAAAATTCATTATGAATTTCTATTTCTTCATATCTTGAGAACGTTTATTTGGGAAAACCGGGGAAAAATGAAGTCCAGAAAAATTTCTAGCAAATAGTATAGCGACCAATTTACGGATTGGGCGTCATGTTTTGGCCCATTTCAGACCACGTGTCATTCTCTTGAGAATAAAATTCTTTATTTGAGTGCTTTCCATATTCATGTGTCTTCTCATAGGCAACCATTAAACAAAGAAATGATACTCTAGGGAATGATGCGTGGCCTGAAATGGAGGGAAAATATATCCAAGCTAAAAGGGTCCTTAAAATCAGCCAGTTTTGTGACTGGAGTACTTTCAAGTAGTACCTAAATAATGCAGCTCAAAGTCTTTCCAAGACTTTATTGCATTGGCCTTTCGGAGGTCGCGCAGAAAACTGGTAACGAGAAGGACGCGCGCTGAATCATGGRACTATCTTAAGGGACGCCATTTTTTTCAACATGGCGGAAAGCTTAACAAACTCTTGTAAAACAGACCGAGAACAAAACCATCATTCAGTGCGCGCGTCCTATTATTAACAGTTTTCTCGCGCATCTCGGAAAGGCCAAGGCTTTAGAGTAAGAATAAACTTGTGAACTTACCATTTGAATTGGTATGCTATCTGCCGATCTTTCGATGATTTTTCCTGAGAATGCCTGTGATAAAAAAGATGAAACAAATTCCTTAGTTATCGGTAAAAAAAAGACGCTTCCCTTGACACACACAAGCGTCATTTTTCCCTTATATTTATTCCTTATAACCCCCTTTCCCCTCATTTTTTTATTGCTAAAGTACGAGTTAGCCATGTGCTGAATTGGATAAGCCCAGAGTTTGATTCAGGGTTCAATCTGTGAGTTAGCCATGCCATGACTTAGATCAGCCCAGAGGTTGTTTCAGGGTTTGATCTGTGAGTTAGCCGTTCCTTGACTTAGATCAGCACAGAGGTTGTTTCAGGGTTCTATCTGTGAGTTAGCCGTTCCCTGACTTAGATCAGCACAGAGGTTGTTTCAGGGTACAATCTGTGAGTTAGCAATGCCCTGACTTAGATCATCCCAGAGGTTGTTTCAGGGTTCAATCTGTGAGTTAGCCAT